TATGAAATATTTCCTACTTGTTCAAAAATGTCTTTGTGACAGAGATGATCCTACACTCATTTGAGAAGGTGTTTGCACCACTTCCTCCTACTGGCTGAATTACAAGTACTGTTATAGCAAGCATTTGTCTCACTACCTACCATTCTCACGGGGAAACTGGGCATCTGTGGCCACATCAGTATGTCTATACTTGAGCTTTAGTTATGATAAATAGCAAGAAAAAAGTTCATTTACAGTAAGAAGACAAATTTGAAGACAAAATTCCCCAACTGTACAGAATGCCTCCAGGTCACCATGTTGCACTGAATTTTTTGGCATTTTTAGAAAATGACAGCGGTTGCATTTTAAATGGAAAGGTAGTTTTTAATAGCATTACATTACAAAATGGCTGGCTTGTGGAGCAAGTATTTATATTATATATAGGGGTGCAACGATACTGATACCAGTATCGGTGCCACTACGAAGCATTTTCACAAGTACTCGTACCAGTGATAGTAAAGAACGATATCAGCGCTTTAAATTTTTTAAACACGAGCAGCTGCCTGAAATCCTGGTCTTGCCGGGGAGCTCACGGTGGCTATCTTTTACAGTGCCGGTCCAGCCGCACATTTCTTCCTCCTTCCTGCTGCCCGCACCTGCCGCACAGCTATAGGGAGACCTGCACGCAACCCTGGAAACACGGCACAGCCCTGCTGAAACCCCGCACGCAGCCCTGGTGAGACCCATACGCATCCTTGGTGAGACCGCACAGCCCTAGTGAGACCTGCACGTAGCCCTGTTGACACTGCACAGCCCTGGTGAGACCGGCACGCAGTCCTGGTGACACTACACAGCCCTGGTGATAATACAAAACACAAAAAATCCCAAGCTCACCTGCCAGCTAGCCTGCAACAAAACAAATTACCCTGACTAACAGTATGCGTTAAAAACAGAGGTTTTAGTTGCACAAACTTTTGGCCAAAAATATGTAGAAGCCACACCGCCGCGCCAAGGCACCTCTGCAAAGAGTCTCCAAGTGTGAGCATATTAATGCAGTCGATAAATTGCATGCAGGTGTACCAGGAGGTAGCCTACTCCTCCTTATAAGCTGCAGGGACACACTAGAGGCCCAGCAACCAAAAATGCACGCTGGGACCCCCAGTCCGTCCCCACATCCAAAACAGTCAAACTAGAAAGATGGGCGTGGCAATCAGATGTGACCGAGTCACTGTAGGCAGGCAGTGGAACTAGACTAAGCTTCAGTCTTCAGACTGGCCCGACTCAAGTGTTAACAAACTGGGTCACACGAGAGGGTGTACCACGGCTCTGGATCTTGAAAGTGCTCCCTGGCTAACTAACAAAGTACACGGAGCACTGCAAATCTCCTCAATGCAGAGCCCAGTGGTCACACTCCAGGCTCGCCATGTCATTTACAGTCCAGCGGGATATTGCTGGAGGGTACACTGATCCAAATAGCTGCTGTGTATATACAGTAATGATGACAACTCCCCCCATCCTTGACAAACTGATCTGTAACCTTCTGTGCAAATAAATCTACAGTTTTCAATCAAATGAAATAAGAAGTGCACATAACCCGCAATGGTACAAGTTTGCTGGTGAATTTTATTTATCTGGAAACAAAAACACACAGCTCTTAGTATAAAACTCTTTATTAAACTCTTCACATTAGTTCCATATATTAAAATAAAAAGATTGTCTTTGCATGATATGGTACAATTTTTATTATTTTCCATAACATTGACAGTATATTACTACCTAATAAAAAGGAGAAAATCATATAAGCTCAGCTGGTCCACCTAAAAACACATGAATTCATCTCCCTATACAAAAGAATAATAGTGGCGAGTAAATTGTTCAATGATTACGTACACAGAAAGTCAATTTTGTAGTGATTTCACTGCCCAATTCACTGTGGAAAAAGAATTGGTAACTATAAATGTACAAAATGCAAGTAAGAGAGTCACTGAAAAGAACAAGAGCTTCCATTCCATAAGGCTGAAACTAATTTGGATATCCAAATTTTATGGGCAATATAATGGTCATGCTCCCTAATATTCATGCTACTGTTGGAAAGCATTGTGGTACATTCACAGCAGGGGTCTCATGGAATATGGAGCCTACAAACCCTAAAGATTTTACGCCCACAAGCCAGACCTGAGTATTTAAAAGGACACAGAGTCTTGTTTTAGTTCAAGGTCAGGTAGCTTCCTCAGGAAACTTACCAAGAAATATACCTATACATGCTACTATAGATATCCAATTAATACCTAAAATTATGACGGGTAACTTTGTAACAATGAAGACTCTTTTCTGTTGGCTGGTTTTATGTAAACTTTGTCACCCTAACCGCCCCCTCCACTCTTCAAAAAGACCTCCTGCTTTTTAGCTCCCTCTTCAACTCCCCCATGCTCGCCTCTAGGACCTCTCTAGAGTCTCTCCCATCCTGTGGAAATCCCTAACCTAACCCGTCCATCTCCTACTCGGACTGCCTTTAGGCAATTCCTTAAGACTAATAACTTCAGGGAAGCCTATCTTGCCTCAAACTAACCACTGAACTATCACGTTCTCAAGCAATGAATCCCTACACAGCTACCTCCTCATGTATCGCTTGCGCCTGCCTTTTAGATTGTAAGCCCTTCCTTATATTATAAAGCACTGCACAAACTGTTGGCGCTATATAAATCCTGTATAATGATAATAATACAAACTATTATGAGTAAAGATAATTAAACCCTCCGTTCTATTGTAATAAGATTTTTTGGGGTTGTTATGAAAATACTTTTCTGTAAACCATCTGAAAACAGAACGAGGTCTTTTAAATTTCTCTCGTGTATTTGATTTTAAACAGAGAACAAATACATTCAGTGACTTACACTAATAAATCTTGATATATAAAATGCTAAATATACATAGAAATAAACATGGCTTTTCAGTCCAAAAATCGGGTCCCAGAGCCCATCAAACCATCTATCTATTTAACCCATAACACAGTATATGGCTGAAGCCAGTCTCATCTTATACACCGTCTTCCAAATCCAATATTTTATCTTTAACTGTTGTGTTTTTACCCCAGTCTGGGAAGTTAGTTGCTTGGTGGAAATAAGGGGATGTATGAATGGGATATAATAAGAGACGCAGGAGTTATGTATATCTCAAACAGCAATGTTATCAAAATTAAATCAAAATTGTTAGGTAAAAGTCCGTTTCTGGGGCATCTGAATCTGAAATGGATGAGGATGGAAGGGTAATGGTAACATAATTGCAAATATAGGACAAGCTGTTAAAAAAAAAAAAAAAAAACCCAGAAAATTCTACAACTTTCCTAACAAACATTTGATACATTTATATCTTCTTCTTAATAAAGTATATGATTTTTTCCTCTTCAGTAACTGGGATTGCATGTAAATTAGGAAAGCAGAAATTTCCCCAGAAACATAAGAACATATTTCCCAATAACTGTCTGTTAAACAGCAGGACCACCCTAATGATATTTAAGGTCTGAGTAAACCTTGACACCTTAGGGTTGCTTTAATAAAAAGGAAATAGGCTGTTAACTTTGCAAGGGATTTGTCCCTTACCTTAGTGAAGCTGGTGAAAATTCAAATTTAAAAAAAATACCCAATCATGTGCAAGAAGGAACCGTATTTTGGCCTGCACATGATTGGATGATGGATGTCAGCAGACTTTGCCTCATTCACAAGGCAAAGGGAATAATCTCGCAAAGTGAACAGCCTTGTAAACATCTGCCAGCTTTGTATGACGGTTACAAAAAGGACTCATAGAGACCTGAAGGCCTTGTTCACACCAAGCGCGGAGCAGGTGCAGAGCAGAGCAGTTGCAGACCGGATCAAAACTGCGTCCAATGTATTTTCAAATTGTATCTTTTGCTCCAGTTCACATCGCAGCGTGCAGTTCCAGAGCAGGTGAAAAATTGCAGCAGGCCCTATTTTACCTGCTCTGGATCTGCAAACGCATCAAAAACGCATGCAAATGCCTGGAACGCACTGATAGCCCATGTTATATATATTTTTTTTTTACCAAAAACGGTCCAGAATGCATCAAAAACGCGGCACTACCCACGGCACTGCGTGTGCAGAAACCTGAGCGGATCTGCTCTGCATTTGGTGTGAACAAGGCCCAAGTTAGCCTATTGCCAAGGCTGTAATTTACGGCTTTCCCTTTATTGCCTAATAGCATGGTCACATTTACTCTTATGGAGCATCCAGAGGGTGGACTGCGATCATACCACTTGTTATGAAGCTAAGTAAAGAAAAGTTACAGCAATGGTGCAACAGATCCAAGATTCATTTTAAACATTTAAAATGGGCAACAGGTTCACTTTAAAGGTTGTCACCATCACTCTAGTCTGTGATAAATGAGATATACCGTGTTTCCCCGAAAATAAGACACTGTCTTATATTTTTTTGGGCTAAAAAAAAAAAAACACACTAGGTCTTATTTTCGGGGTAGGTCTTATTTTTTTTTAATGTACAACAATCCACACTTATTCATATAGAAAAGTCTACAAGTACAAAGTATACATACAAAGTATTCATGTACAACAATATGGTGATCAGGGCAATCAGGGGTGCCGTACCTTTCCAAGAGCAATTTGCTAACCAATCTCTGGCCAGAATGAGCGAAGCGTGCTTTTACTATCGATTCCTCACAGACGGAGTGCATTTGGTATCACTCCGCCTGTGACAGGAGCATCGGCTTTTGCGACTCTGCTCCCTACGGTGCCGACTCGCTTCTCCCGCGTCTCTTCAGGGTCCCCTTATGCCACCACTGGCCCTGGGAATGGTCACAACTAGGTCTTATTTTCGGGGTAGGTCTTATATATTTTAGAAAGTCCCAAAAATAGTACTAGGTCTTATTTTTGGGGTAGGTCTTATTTTCTGGGAAACAGGGTAGATATATATATATATATAAAAATAAACACATTCATGGCAGTACCACAGCAACTTCCCTACTTTGCATATATGCACATTCAGTATATCTGTGTTTGAGAACTTAACCTGATAAGAAGGTCCTTACAAGAAGAGGAAGTAGGGAAAGCAAGGAATGGAGGGATCCCTGAGATCACCCTGTTGAGGCAGTAACATAACCACTTGAAGGCCCAAGATCCATGTCATTCATTTCTTCAGAGCCTTGGCGAGCCTGTCCCAAAACCACCCCTGTATGTGGGGGTTTGTGTAATCACACACTGTAATAAACCGGAGAATGCTCGGAAATGGTCTCTTCATGGATTTGTATTTCACTGGGATTAGTCTTCTCTCACGAGCCCCTGAGTAAAGAAAAAACACAAAAAGCAACATAAATTCTCCAAAATATGCATCCTCCAGTGCAGTCACTACAAACAGATAGCACACACAACAGCTTCCACATTAGAAACATATACAGTAAACCCCCAGTTATCCGGCACCAATAGGGATTGGTATATGCCCGATAATGGGGAGTTTACCTTAAATATATACACACACACTTACAAAAGCAGCAGGAGGAATTCCTACAAAGGTCAGAGAATACTAATCCCTACTGCATCGCAACAACATTTCATGTAGGTGTGACCAAGCCCTAAATGCACCCAAAGTGCAGAGCCATGAGAGGATTGAAATGAAGAAATTACATTTTCCTTTAAAACATACCTGGTCCAAGGCTGAGAGCAAATTTTGTCTGGAAATCACACTCGCTGCTGTCCAGATAATCATCAGATATAATCACCACCATCTTCCTACACCTGCAAGAAAAGCAAAAACAGACTAAATAAAATGATATGCCAATATTGACTATCAGCCCAAACTATGGAATGTCAAATACTATCCATGAAAAGGGTCGATACCTAAGAAAATACCTAGGAACCTAGATTTTAAGAAGCTACTACAGGGCCCAATGTAACCATGTAGCCTATGAGTCTAGTATAACAATATTGTTACATAGTTACTCAGGTTGAAAAAAAGACACATGTCCATCGAGTTCAACCTATAGAGCTTTTATATAGCTTTTAAACGTCGCCTATGGTCAATTTTGGGGATGGTAGTTTTTTTGCGATTTCGCGGGTGCACGCAATTTTTAAGCTTGACATGTTTGGTGTCTAATTACCCGACGTGACCCCAACTTTTATATTTTACCTAAAAAAATTGGGTAGTAATAAATGTTTCATAACATAATGTAAAAAAAACTTTTTTTTTTCTCAAAATTTTGCAATACTTTTCCTGAAATATAGTAAAAAATTAAAACCGCAGTGGTGATTAAATACCACCAAAAGAAAGCTCTATCTGTCCCCACAAAATGATATAAAATTAATTTCAGTACAGCGACGCATGACGGAATAAATGTCAGTCAAAGTACCGCAGCGCTGAATACTGAAAAATGGCCTGGCCAGGAAGGGGTGTAAACACCTGGTCTTCAAGCAGTTAAAAAAAAAAGAAAAAAACCACCAACACAGGCTGCAGACTGGAAAGATAGCAATGCACATGTCACACAAAGGACCCGGTGTCTCAAGCTATAATAGAAGGCCATTACCAAGAAATAGCAAGTGCTAAAAACAGACCAACTCATCCAGTTCATACTGCTGAATCATTGTACATACCAGCCTGATAATGTGAGGCAATTTCTACCTTCTTTTATAACCCTTGCAGACACACAGGCCAGCACAGCACTGAAACAGTTGCATCACTACACAGAAAACCCGAGAACGTGATTGTGCATAGAGACAACAAAAATCTATCTCCTAAATTTAACAAAACTATGTAGTATGCAGACAAACCTAAACAACACATTTATTGTACCAAATTAGGCCTACACAGCTGATAGTACATCTAGGAGGAGATTGTACAATCAGATTGTAATAACCCAAGGACTTCAGCCAATATCATCTGAACTGGACCCTGGTCCAATAGGTCCCATAGTGTACTAGATTGAGCCCGACGGCTCCAGCTTTTCACAAAACACCACCAAGCTCATTGTAGTCAGATTTCCTCCCAGAAACACTGAAGGAGATAATAAAAGCCCCTCCTGGACCCGTATTCAGCCTAACCAAAGACCTTTTGCTAAACTGTTGATGGAACAGGAACAGTAGTAAATGAAGTGTGAGCTGTACATGTCTTGGGAGAAATCCTTGTAGCCCACACTGTGGTTTTAATTCCAGTAATGAATATGTGAAAAAAGGGAGTCGTTTTGTATTTTTATATATGATAAGTATCTCTAGCCATTGTTTGGCCCTTCAATTCTATCCTAGAGACGCATCAAGAAGTTAGAGGAAATCTCCCAAACTGAGGAGAATTCCCCTCTTAAAACAGCTGTTCCGGAACAGGTGTCCCCCCTTACCTCTTGTTATGGTGACAACTCTAAAATTTTGGATTTAACTTTATTTTGGTCACCAGTACATAGAGGATGAATCTCCCCAGCAAGGACACAGCAGTTAAAATTGATAGAGGATCTAACCGTACCCCACACTATCCATAACTTAGAGAACTATGGGGTTAAGGCTTTTCCCCATAGTTCTCCTTAGGAAGAACTCCAGGCAAATACAGTCTTAACCCATGCAGTGGGGCTACCTCCGCACTGCGAGGGTTATGTGCTCGTTTTATCTAGGGAGCTAAAATAATACTCACCCATGCCACAATCCTGGGGTGCTCTTAGACCAGTCCCTTCAGCCTCGCTCCCCCTCTGCTCTAGCGGTCTAAGGTTGGGTGAGTCATGACATTCAATACAGTCCATAGAACGTGAGGACATTGAGGGACATACCATGTCCGGGCAGAGGGGGAGCGAGGATAGAGGGAGCGATATAGGAGCAAGCTGGGATCGTGGATCAGGAGATATAACACTGTTCATTTAGTTCCCTAGATAAAAAGAAACTTAACCCTTGCAGTGCAGGATAGCCCCACTGCAAGGTTTAGGATTTTAACTCCTCAGAGTTCTGTTTTACAAAAAGTGAAACAATTGCCTAGTGACACAGTTCAGTGGAAGAAACAAAGAGTAATAACCAGAAAAAAGTAATAGCTCTTATTATACTCTTAGGCATCTACGGCATGTTCATCTTTGGGGTACCTGTTTTCTATAAGTTCACTTGTTATAGACCACAGACATGTGCCGGGGAGGACGTCTCTATCAAACACACACAGCTTCAGATGATGGTCCGTCTGCTCCAGTCGAATGATCATTTCCTGCACGAAACTTATATCCTGGGCACAGTAGCAGATGAATGCATCAAACTGCTCAGGCAGATGTCCTGCAGATGAACATGAAACATAAGCACATTGGAAAGAAGATAGCAGAAAAGGACAATCTGTACAGAAAATGCTACAACACCTGAACAGACCTTCTACAAATACTGATCTGTAGCATAGAAAACGATTGAGGAGGATTTTAAAGCAAAGATGCAACTAAACAAGGATCCTTCCTAAACCAAGGAAGAAAAAGGCTCACCAGTCCATAAGATGGTGGCTGCATTCATTTTCATGGCTAACAAGATTAACAGCAAGTACAGGAAATGCCTGTTGGTCCTGCCGAAAAATGCAGTATCCTTGTCATGTCCTGTGAGCTGGACAGGAACTACAAACAACCAGAACTTTGATTTGTAAACTTCTAGTCCCATCAGCATTGATGTCACTGAAATGAACAATGGCCGACACTTAAAGGAGGACTATGAGGTGAGTAATTTTCACTCAACATGATAGTTTGAGCTGACCTGTGACAATGAGACTGTCACAGGTCGGCTCTATAGATCGGGAAGTGAGTGAACGCATACCGTCGCTCGCTCACTTCCCGATCATCTCCCTGCAGAGGGCGGTGGATGGCAGCTGGGTGGATCGCGACAGCATTGTCGGGATCCATCCTGGCTGCGGTGTTCTCGGTATATAGTGAGCAATAGCCCGCAATATACTGAGCTTTGGGTCACGGGAGGAGGTTAGTATATGTCCTCCTCTGACCCTTAAGAGAACTATGTGATAAAAAGGTTACCCCATAGTTCTCTTTTAAGTCCTGGGTGGCAATCATGACTCTGTCCATAGATGCAGTTACGTTGGGAGAATAGCCACCCAAGCGCAGGAAGTGTGTTTTTTGTAGGATTATTATTTAAAATGTAACCACTAGCTGTTGCCTCTACATTACCATCATGTGAGCCATAGAGAAACTATTATGCTGCTTACTTACCAGACTTCCGGGCAGAATTATTCTTAACCCTTGCAGTGGGGTTACCCCCCCCCAAAAAATAATAAAGGGTTAAGTGGTTGCTTTCATCAAGGGATTAAAATTAAGTAATACACACCTGAACCCCTGAGCCGGTTGGCTGCTAGACGAGTCCCTATGCCCTGTCTCCTCCTCTGCTCCAGCAGTGAAATGTCCCTCAGCATCCTCACATCCTATACATGTAATGACTCGCAGGGTCTTAGACCGACAGAGCGGAGGGGAAGAGAGGTCACAGGCACCTGTCTTAACAGCCAGCTGACTGCGAGGTTGGTGCAAGTATAGCTTTTTTTAAATTATTTCTATTAACCCTTGCAGTGTGTGGGAAGCCCAACTGCAAGAGTTAAGAATAATTCTGCCCAGAGTCCTGCTCTAAAATGCATGTCTGGGCATGATTACAAATGACATGTATATGTCCCCATGTTTTATCCCGTGACAAATGCTCTAAGTACTGAAAAATACCTGTTAATCCATCTAGAAGTCCATTCAGCCTGTGCATGCTGCCTTTACTGCATTGGTTCCCCATTGCTGGGCTACAGAACACCCCTCTATGTTATGGAGATGAGGAGAAGCCATTCTGTAGTTCAGCAAAAAAGAACTGCAGCATGGCTGACAACGCTGCTTGGGATTTCAATGCAGCAGTTGCAGTTTTGTCAGCTCAGTGCAGCAAGTTCGGGGCACACTGGATTGCTGGCAGATCGTAATGTATTTTTCTGTACTTACAGCCTTTTTAAAAAGAGGCAAAACATGGGGGAAAGTGCATTATCCAGATGTACTACATATGTTTTTCATCTATTGTGCCATGATGTACACTTTCAATGGGAATTTTGGCTACAAGCGTGTTGTTCTGAAATATTCAAAAGTGCAGAAGTTGCCACTCCGCACGGTCTCGGATGTAAAAGAAATGAAGCCAAACACATAAATACCTATGAATCATCCCCGCCACCCCCTTGGTTCAGTTTGCATGGATAATACACTGCTGCTCTGCCCTCAATAACCTCCTCCATCTGACAGCTTTAGATGCAGTCAACATTCTTAAGCTAGCCGAACAGCCGCGGCACCCGCAGCTGCCTGAATACCCGAGCAGCGACTGCATCTGATCTGTTTCTCCCAGATCTCCCGCTGTCAGAATACCTGAACAGAGCCAGCAGCTCATTGGCTGCCCGCTCTGTTTGTTCCAAGATTTTCTGACCAGCTCCTTTGATCAACTGATCAAGGGATGCCAGCTGAAAGGGTGCCACCCACTGTGTGGATTCCAAGCAGTGTACGGCCAACACTGTGCCCAACAGCTGCCCTAGTTTGTAGAAATGTGCTCAGAAAGGAGGGGTGTCATCTCAGAACCATTTATTTCCATTTAGGTTGCTGAAAGCGTATACCTTTTCATCAATAAGCTGTGTAGGGTAAACTATCACATTAATGATTATTTCGTTATTACTGCGGTAACACAATGATTTTCATCTGACAAAGCACCCAGCCGGAGCTGTATACCTGGATCATCAAGCCTGGTGATACACAATCCCGCACTACTGTCCACGGTTCCATCTTGTACTGGTGGCGACTTGCTGGACTCTCTGATCTTTCTTAAATACTTCTGACAGTCCCCCTCTAGAACATGAAGAAAAAGACTTGGTAACACATCTGATAAAAAGGAGAAAAGAAAGGATGGGAAAAGAAATAATCCTAGAGTCACTGACTCAGAGCAAGTATGAAGGTCAGAGAAGTCTTTATCTGCACATTCGGGTCTGGCTTTGTGATTTTCGGAGTCAACATGAGCCAGGTAACTAGTGACAGGTCCTCTTTATGGAGACATCAGGGGTATTTAGATCACCTAATGACCCTCAAAGAAGCTGATGAAGCAAAGATGTGCTCCACCAGCTTCTTCTCCAGCTACAACAGTTGAAGAAATGATAGGCTGATAGCAGAACTGGTGTAATACACAGCTCGCACACTCCCATGCACCATACAAGCGATCGGGCAGCTCTATAGCCACCTGAATACTTGTATGGAACAGTTGCGGCTTTTTACATTTTTACCGTGACCTGCGCATGGAAGCAGGAAAATAAAAACCGCTGTACATGCACGGCTACCAGCCCCCTAGAGAGTGCTGATCGTCTACACAGGCAGTACCCGGGTAGCGGGGACACAGAGCGCTGCATTCCTAGCTGCCCCCTGTACCTCCACTGATGTCCCGGCGTCCTCTTCCGCCAATCCGTCGCTCTCCTGGTCCAGGCCGCGGCTCCTCTGCCCCGCCCCCCTGCCGATACCCAGCCTGCTATTGGATATTGTAAAATGCAATAGCAAGCTGGCTATTACACCCGCTCACTGCCAATCAGCATGGGAGGACCTGATAGAGAACTTTCTCCCCTCCTCTGCTGATTGACAGCAGGCAGTGGGCAGATGCTATAGCCAGCCTCCTATTGGCTATTGCAATTTGAAATATCCAATAGGCGGCTGGCTATTGCTCCCAGCATTAAAATAAAAAAAATAAAAAACATAAATATATAAAAAAATTAATAACAAAATAAAAAAGTAAAAAAGTTTTAATAAAATTAAAAATTAAAAAGACAAAAAAAAGTTAAATAAAAATTAAAAATGCAAAGAAAAAAAAATAAAGTATATAAAATAAAATTTTGGCGTGTCATTTTAAATAAAAAAAATGTTTTTATTATATTATAATCTTCTGAACAACAGGAACAGACAGCAAAACAAACATGACCCTTCCCTATGCTATCCAAAACTAAAAAATGTTTTTTTGGCTGGAGCTACACTTAAAAAAAAAAATTACCTTTTCCGACTTGCATACAAATTCATCTTAAGTACAAACCTAAAGTCCCTATCTTGTATGTAACCCGGGGACGGCCTGTATAGAATAGGCCGAAGGCAAGTAGCTAAAAAGTTTATTATTTTACATTTTAGTTGAAGCGGGGGTTTGTTTTTATAATCCACTGCTCCAAATAAAATATTCTATGCCAAGAAAACTTGTTTTTATAAATCTTTAGGTATGCAAATGAGTCCGAGTTGTAGTAAAGGTCATCTACACATACTACCACTAAACCTGGCCTAGATATCCAGGCTTCATATCTGGATGCAATATCGGTTCATTTTATTTGGACTTGTGCTTCCAGCTTCAAAATCCATGAACCCCACATACCTATTAAAGGAGTGAGATCTGTGAGAATATCATTCCTTTCAATCTTCTGCAGTAGGTTCAGCAGATCTCCAACTGTTGCTTGTGTTTTTCTTTTCTGCCAGTCATCCAGAAGTGCGGAGGTTGGGTTAGAACATCTGTCATAATTCTTTACCTCTAGATAGCTATAATCCATTTCTTCAGCAAGATGTGTCCAGTTGGAAGCCACCGTTGCTTCAGGGTTCAAATATAAAGACAACTTCTGCCTGGTAGTGTAGTTTAAGGCAATGAGTGGAATGGAGTTAAAGTCCAGTTTGTCTGGATTTGATGCAACAGCCATATTTATAGCATACGTAAAACTGGAAATCCCTGTAAAAAAGTCTGGACCCGCAGCTCAACGCTGGCTAGATACTTGTGCACCAAATTCTCAGCATTTCTACTTTATTTCTTCATTGGACTAATACCTGAAAAACAAGTCAAAGACATAAGAATATTTGAATATTTTAAACCAGAATACTGTGCAATTCACGAAAACAAGAGACATTAAAAGAGGAACTTTACCCAAATCTTTATGATGGCAACAAACACACCTTTAGAAATGTTTAGTAATAACAATCTCCAAACACATACTTCTAGACCGGCTTTGTGTTCTTTACATACCGTATTGTTCCTTCCCTCCCCAGTCTTCTCACAGGGTCATTTTTACTAAGGGCAGATTACTAGCTCTCCCTTTATTCCCTGGAACTCTGCCACATGTGACTAGGACATGTTAGATTACAGATGACAATTCCCAGCAATGCTCTGCTGATATAACCTTCCCAGGGTGCAGCGCTTGGGCACATTACATCACTAATGTCGAGGAGGACCAGGAAGTGGCAAAACAATAACTGTAAGTAGGGATGCACCGATACTAGTATCGGTGCCGATGTCAAGTATTTGGGCGAGTACTCGTGCTTGCCCAAATGCTCCGATGCCTGGCCCGATGCCCGAGCTTCCGTTATCAGGAAGCCGGGCAGCGAGTCATTACACGCTGCCCGGCTTCCTGATTGGCCGGGAAGCTGGCTCCAATCTCCCTGGTCACTGATGTGATTTTTAGTGAAAGGGGGTGAAGGTCCTCTTTAAGGGCATGTTCACACCATATCCGGATCATGTCCAGACCAGAACAGTTTGTTCCCGGACCAAAGAAAGCATCCCAATTTATCCCTAGGGTATTTCTGGGCTCTGTTCACACCAGCGCATTCCGTTCCGGACCATATATATTTAAAATGGCCACTGTGAGAAGACGGGGGAGGAAAAGATAAATCAGGTATACAAAAAAACAGCAATTATCTAGAAGTATGTGTTGGTAGATTGTCATTACTGAACAATTTTAAAGGTGTGTTTGTTGTTATTTTGAAGATGTGGGTAAAGGTCCGCTTTAACCCCATCATGACTGAGGCCTTTTTTTTTCCCGTTTTTTGCACCCATGCTATAATCCACATTTTAGACCTGAAAATTCCTTCAAACCCCTAAACATTATATATTTTCTGACAGCCAAGACCCTGTAGAATAAAATGTCGGCAGTTGCAAATCTTTATGTTGCACGACATTAGCGCAACTCTTTATCAAACCCCAAAATTTAGAGGAAAATGCACTTAAATGCCGCAAAACACAATAAAATACCATTTGTTTTATAAAATATAAAAGATGAGGTTACAACAAGTAAATAGCTACCTAACATGGCCAGGTCAAAAAATGTGTGCGTCCGTGAAACAGACAAAATTCAGTACACCAAAACGTCCATAGATGACGCTTCAAAGGCATTGGCCCTATAATCATCTGGGGTGCGATCATCGTTTTCACACGTAGGTGCACCCGACGCGTGTTTACTTGAAGATGCCCGTGCTTGCGAAGGACAATCAAAATTATTATTTTTACATTTCATATTATTTTTAAAAACTGTTTTTTTTTTGTTTCACTTTACTTTAATTGCCATGACATAGGCGGGCTTACGAGGAGGCCAGCAATGACAGCTCAGGGACCGGAAGTGATGTAGTCTGCATCGCGCCCGGTCCCATAGTACGGGGAGGAAGTCAGCGAATGGATGTTTGCCGCTCTCCTCTCCAGCTTCCCACTGACACCCGAGATGCCAGTCCCAGGCCTGTAGGAGGGGTAGCGGAGCCTGGGAAACACGGCGGGGGTGTCAGGGGGGGGGGCGGGCAGTTTACCAGCCCGTAAAAGCAATCTGGCGACAGCTAAGGGCTTGTTCACACCAAATGCAGACCAGATCTGCATGAGTTTCTGCACAAACAGTACAGTGGGTTGTGTCGCGTTTATGCCGCGTTCCGGGCCGTTTTTAAAAAAACGTTTACGTTTAAAATGGGCTTTCAGTGCGTTTTTGATGCGTTTGCATGCGTTCCAGAGCAGGTAAAATAGGGCTTGCTGCAGTTTTTTTGCATGCTCTGGAACTGAACGCTGCGGTGTGAACCTAGAGCCCAAAATACCATTGGAATACATTGGACGCAGTTTTGATCCGGTCTGTAACTGCTCTGCTCCTGGAACGCGCTTTGTGTGAACAAGGCCTAAGTCCCCAGAATTGCTTCTACCGTGTTTCCCCGAAAATAAGACACTGTCTTACATTTTTTTTGGCTCAAAAAACACACTAGGTCTTATTTTTGGGGTAGGTCTTATTGATTTTTATTTTTTTGTATGTACAACAATCCACACTTATTCATGTATATGAATATACATATGGTGATCAGGTCAATCAGGGGTGCGTACCTTTTCAAGAGCAATATGGTAACCAATTGCTGGCCAGAATGAGCGAAGCGCGCTTTCACTATCATACCTCACAGGCAGAGTGCATTTGGTATCACTTCGCCTGTGACAGGAACCGGCGCTATAGAGCAGACATTGGCTTATGTGGCTCTGCTCCCTCCGGTGACGCCTCGCTTCCTCTAGCACTGGCTTCGTTGACACCGCTGATTCTCTCCTGCCTCTCCCGCGGCTCTTCAAGTTCCCCCTTAAGCCACCACCGGCCCTAGTAATGGTCACAACTAGGTCTTATTTTCGGGGTAGGTCTTATATTTGAGCAATTCCCATAAATAGTACTAGGTCTTATTTTCGGGGTAGGTCTTATTTTCAGGGAAACAGGGTATTGTAAAGCCGACAGTGGGCTTTACAAATGTAAACAGAGTCCTGTTTAAACGGGCCCGATGTCAGTGACGTACTATGTACGTCACTGGATATTCAGCAGCCGTGGGAGAACCGGCTGCCTGAATACATAAAAACAGAAATAAAATGTTGCCAGGGATTCCACTATCCTTGCGGTTTAGTGCGGATTGTAATATCTAATGATTTCCCTGGGAGAAATCTGACAGTGTATGGTCAGCTTTAGGCAGAAGGCATGTCCTTGTAGCATTCCTCATCACAAATCATAAACCATACGTACATGTAGTATCTGTGTGTCAACAAACACCAATAATTAGGGATGCACCAATACCCGTTTTTTAGTATCAAGAACGAGTACCAATATTTATCTATTGGTACTCCCTGATACCGAGTACCAATACCGGTAGTTCCGCCAGCATGGAGCCCGCTTCCCGGCCAATCAGGAAGCCAGGTGGTAGGTAATGACTAACAGCATGGAGCCAGCTTCATTACCCGCCGCCTGGCTCCTTGATTGCCCAGGAAGCCAGCTCCATGCTGTTAGCCATCACCTACCACCTGGCTTCCTGATTGGCCGGGAAGCCGGCTCCATGTTCCCTCGTGTCACTGCCGGTCAGAAGAAATCTGCCTCTGACTGGAAGTTTGGGTATCGGGGGTAAGTATCGGAGCATTTGGGCGAGTACCAGTCCATCGGCACCAATACTAGTATCTGTATTAATTTATGCTTTCAAAAACAATTCAATATTTTGGGAAGTAGATATTAAGTATACAGCATTATAAACACCTTTATGACATAAACAGAACACTATTTATTTATACAGTGCATCAGACCTAAAAGGACAAAAGTAAAGAGCGTGTTACATATGTATAAAATTGTTGTTTTTTTTGCACTGATGATGATACAGATCTCACATACATGAATAAAACAGAAACTATTGTATTTAAAATAAAAAGAACCAGCAACACAGAACCCACTCCATCTATCGGCCCATGAAAATGCCCCAGTGATCATTACTTACCCATCCGGATGAGCACTTCCTCGACTCTGACACCTCCCCAGCTGTGCGCTCACTGTAGAGCAAGGCAGGGCTGACTCGGACTCGTCCATTTTTAGCGGAGGGGTGGACATAATAAGCTTTCACTTTATAAGAGGGTTCAGACCGGTCTTAGTGACCATTTTGTATATTTGATCTAATATACAATTGCGCATGATCGAGAATCTGGTTCTGATTGAATGATCAAGTTATAGGGAGCTCTGCAGTTTTATTTCAATGAGCACGGAGATCCCCCGCGTGTGTGGAAATGAACTGTGTGGAGTTTCAGGAAGTTGGAGAGAAAGTTTGTGTGTGGGAAATGATGATGATGTGTTACTATAGCTGCAGCTACGTCTGTCCGGCCACAATCACTTCCTGATTATCCAGCTGAATGCAAACATAGCTAAAGACGAACCCTATTCACTAAAATGAGCTAATAAAAGTTGTCACATAATTTCTGTCTTTTTTAAAACCTGCAAATTTCATAATACAGTTAACATGTTACCTGGTGATCCTGCCATGAACCTTGTCCTGGAACGTCCTGTTTAGTCTAGGGGTGACAACAATGTGTCTCTGTCTAGTAAATTTGCTCCTGGGATGTCACTCTGTCACAGGAGACTACACATGGCTGTTACCACATACAGTACATTATTCAGGCATGTTCCACTGTTGCCACTATTAGAAAACAATAACAACCCTCAGCACTAACAACCCTCAGCACCCCCATTCATTGACAAAATGACTGTCAGTGGCAGTAATATTAAACCTGCTCCCCTTCATTGATGATCAGTGGCAATATTATTTGCACCCCTGCATTGGTGGTCAGTGGCAGTAATATTACACCCGCTCCTCTTCATTGGCAGTCAGTGGCAGTAATATTAAACCCGCTCCCCTTCATTGGTGGTCAGTCGCAGTAATAATAAACCCGCTCCCCTTCATTGGTGGTCAGTCGCAGTAATATTAAACCCCCTCCCTTTCATTGGTGGTCAGTGGCAGTAATATTAAACCCGATCCCCTTAATTGGTGGTCAGTCGCAGTAATATTAAACCCGCTCCCCTTAATTGGTGGTCAGTCGCAGTAATATTAAACCCGCTCCCCTTCATTGGTGGTCAGTCGCAGTAATATTAAACCCGATCCCCTTAATTGGTGGTCAGTCGCA